GTTTAGTATGCTTTGCGAATATGAGTGTTAACTTACGTTATTTGATTTCTTTTAATTATTACGGGATAATTATAAGATGAGATAAAGGTGAAACTTTAGATTTTTTTATTAGGGTGCTAGACAAGATTATGAATCTTGCTCCTACGTATTCTCAAGTGAGATGGAAAACTCAAAGCTATGTAGTTTTAGGCGAGAACATATAGATTTTTATTATCGTGTTTGACAAGATTGTAATCTTGCTTCTTCGTATCTCCAGGTGCAATGAGGAACTCAAAGCTACATAGTTTTGGGCGAAAACAATAGATTTTTTTTATTATGATACTTGACAAGATTGAGAATCTTATTCCTACGTATCCCCAAGTGTGATGGGAAACTCAAAGCTACCTAGTTCTGGGTAGAAAATGTTTGTTTTTTGGTCAATTTTAACGAAAAATATCCAAATCTTATTCGAGCGGTAAAACATTGCTTGCTACCCGTACATATGGCTGGACAGAAACCGGCCAGCTGACCCAACCCTATTCAAACCGAGCAAAATGGAAATTGGGAGGTTTGGATCGGCCCAACGGGTCAAGCGGGTGACATAAACCGGTTTAAAGGGGTTTGATACGGGCGGGCCGGGTACCAAAAGCTGACACACCGGGTACCGTGACCAGCCCAGTAGAGAACGACGTCGTTTGGGATTACTGAAAGGATATGGGTAATACCTGACTCAATTCATTCTCTCACTTCTGGTTCATGCTTTCTCTCACTCTCTCAGTTCTCTCACTCTCACGCTCTCAGTTCCCTTACTCTTTCGATTAACGGTGTTCTACTTTCGTTTTCGTTTGCAAGAATTTAAGGTTTGTGGTTTTGATTCACTTTTAAGTTTTGTGTTGTTAGATTTTGTTATTTAGGGTTTTTATTTATTTACGATTTATGAATCTATGTTTGATCTGTGATTTTATATTTAGGATTTGTGGTTTTGATTCACTTTCTAAACCAGGTTGAGTGCAATCAGACCCAGCAGGAAGATTGATCATATGTGGTTCATGCTTATGTTGTTGAAGAGGTGAGCTTTTCTTCATTTTAAACCATATTTATGTTGTTGTTCTGAAATCCATATAACCTGATGACACTTATTCTAGAATCCATAGTTATGAATTAATGATTATTTTTTAATTATGTTTACAGATTCGCAAGTTGTGTCCGGTCCCTCTACACCTTTGCCAGACAAAAAGCTCTTGTTGTTTATTTCAAAAGTGTGTCTCTTATTTGTTTCTTTCTATCTTCTTTTATTTTTTGTTTTCTTTTTAGTTTGAAAAATCTAACAGTTCTGTTCTTTTCTTTTTAGGTTGTGTATGAATTGAGACAATAAACTCAATGACTCATTCTGTGAAAACCACATGTAATCTCTCTGTCCTGTTAAACTGAAATATAAACTTAAACTAATGAGATAAAAATCTCAATAAGACTTATATTCAAAAAAATACAAGCATAAGCATTCTTAAAACATTTTCTTAGTTATAGCATTTTTAGTAGTAATGTTATAATTTCCTTTATGTAATCAAGTCTTGTTATTCTACAATGTAGACATGATTAGAAATTTATAATTCCACTTGAAGCATCTCCAAGTATGACTCACACTCTCTTACGACAATTCATAGAGTTAGGATCAAGTGTTTTATCATTCTTGGTGCTAATTGCTTGGAGTTACTTCTTGGTGTTAATTGAATTTTTGGTGTTAATTTAATGTGTGATTGATAGTCTTTATAATTCATATATAGAAGTAGCACATGTTACTGCATCTTTGCATCATCAAATTTAAATCCATACCAAAAAAAGCTATTAAATTACCATGAGTTTTGTATTATTGACATGATTCCTTAGTGTTGTACCCAAAAATCTGTCCTCCCCATTTTCACACAAGACATACTCATAGAGGTCCTCAATTGCTCAAGGTTGACCAAGAATTGATCAGACAAATTCTCCTCCTAAGCATTGGCCTTCCAACTAAGGTTTCATTTTTAACCAAGATGTGTGAGCTCCAAAGGTATCAAATGTCTTCCATGGTCCTAATATGTCTTCAAGATTATCCATGACAAATTTCATACCTTGCACTACAAGTTTGCTCAGTCAATTGCTCAAATGCTTGAAAATCAACTGTACTAGGTCAAAAGTCAACTATGGTCTATATACAGTCAAAACTTCAATATTTTTGGTCAACATCAATATTTTGAAGTGATATCCATCATTTTATAAAGGGTTGATCATGCTCCCTCAAGAAATGCTCCTAATTCATCAAAAGTCAAGAATTGATAATTAGGGTTTCTATAGGAAAAATCAACCAAACTTTGACCACAAATAACTTTCTCATACTTCATCCATTTTCCCCCAACCAAATCTCATTTTAAATAGAATCCAATTCCCTACAACTTATCTTTAGCCCTCAAGTCCAAGAAATGCACCATTTGAAAGATACAAGCTTATACATTACAGGTCATTTTCAGAAAGTCAACAAAAAGCACTTTTTGTCAAGACCATTTACATCAAGATAAAATATCAAATACAAAATTGATCAAAATAGGGATTGAAGTAGACATCTTAGGCTTTCCAAAAAGTCCAAGATCATCATCATGAGATAAAAATAGAGCAAGTTATGGCTTGCTCAAGTTGGGAAAATTTGAGAATTTTTAAGAATTATGCATTGAGCAAACTTGAAGTTTTAGGTCAATGGCTTAATTTCTTGGACTCTCAAACATCTTCCTAAGCCTATAGAGGACCTCTAAAATTATTCTTGCCATGCCTTGCATTTTCTAACTATTTTATTCATATTTATTTTAATTTATTTCAAATAAATATAAAATAAAATGTATAAAATAATTGGAAATGAGATTTGAGCTTTGGGTTGATGTTTTGGACAGCCCAGGCCATAAAATTTCGTACAAGCAATGTCAACATTCATTCAAATTCAAAAAAGACAAGATTTCATGTCTTTGGCAAAGTTACAAAACATCATTCATGGCTTTAAAAACACATGTTTATGGTTGTTATTACCTTCGTTCTCTTGTCTCCTCCCTCCTCTCTATATAAAAGACACATTATCAAGCTTTAAGACACATGATAGATAGCCTGGAAAAGCTCTACAAATTTTGCAAAAAATATCAAAGTTGTAAAATTCGCATTTTAGGTTCCATCATTCCTCAGTCCAAACAAAAGATCAAAATACATTCCTGGATGCTCCCTGAAGCTTTTGCAATCATTAACAAGCCCCGAAACATCACAAAACACCTCAGTAAGCTCCAGATTTTAGATTCGATGTATTACTGGCCAGAAGTGTACCAAACACCATCAGATCTAGCCTTCAAATCTTTAAGGGGTCAAGATCTAAAGGCTTCAATTTGAGATCCACCATGTGCCCTCAAGGCCTTATACTCACCTGATCAGTATGACCTGGGCTTAACATTCACTTGGGCCTAGAAAAATTCAATCTCAGCACCTCCTCCCCCCCCCCCCCCCCCCCCCCCCCCCCCCCCCCCATTTCTAATTATCTTGGCCCATTTCGCATTGTTTTTGTCACTTTGCTTTTATATATATTTTTTTAATTTTAATTTGATTTCTTCATTTATTTAATTAGTATAATATAATAATAAAATCACAAAAATATTGTTTTAGTTTTTTTAATTAAATTAAATTTTGTGAATTAATAATAACTATTTTAACTATTTTTCTTTAATTAAAATAAATTAGAACTTAAGACTTAATTTATGATTAATTATTTTTTTTAAATAATTCAAAAAAAACTAAAAAAGAATTTAGACGATTTTTCTTGATTAATTTTATTTTCTAAATAGATTTTTAGATTATTTACTTTCTTAAATAAAAAAAATAATCAAAAAGATTTTCTTACTAGGTTGTTAGACGTATCTTCAACTCTCCGCGAGCATTATTATTTTTGCAATTTATATTCATTCTTGTGCCTGTATACTGGATGTAATAAACTAATAAGGATTTTTACCGCTTTCTTTTTCTTTTTCTTCCCCCAAATTTTGTATATTGTAAACCCCCTCCCTGAAGCCATGTAATAGTGTAGGGTTTTATCTTCGCACTTTACATTTATGTATATATTAGCTGCTAGTAACTAGGCGTGTATGAAAAGACTGAAATCAAATGTTAGCAAACTTAACAAAAAGACAAAAATAACTAAACATAACACACTTACACATATACCACCCTCTAGGGTACCCCCCACCCTTAGGTTGCCTTCAGAAATAAGACAGTCACGAGGCAGGAACACTTTAGCAAAGACCCATAAATCAAAATATCATAGTCCATCGATGACCCTACAGTTGCCTTCTCGGTAAATGATCTAGTCCCTAAAACAAAATTGCTAAAGCGTCTCCACAAGTTGCCTTCATGACTGTAACGTCCCTTTCGAATGTCCCTAATACATCCAACGATATGGCTACCTACTCACTAATAGTAGGATAGCATTGTCTAAAGGATAGGAGGAAAAGAACGACCCTTTTCGAGTATAAAAGTAGATAGCTGTTAGAAGTTTACTCAAAAATACATTTTGCACTTACACCAAATACTACTTTTCAAAAAGCAGTTTTCAAAACATCTCCTTTGTTAACACTCTTGAGGAAGAATACAGAGTTAAACGCAAAGTAAATCGCCGCACTAAGGCATTTTTCCAAACATTTTCATAAACACACAAAGCACAAAGGTATTTCAAAATGAGTAAACCTCTAAGAGCTCGTAGAAAACTACGGATGGAAAGGGTCCTAACACCTTCTCTTTTCATAATCTACCCCCCTTACCTCAGAAAACTCTTGAAAAAGTCTTTTTCTGTTCTTTTCACCCTTTCCTTGGTTGGATAAAAAAAAAAATCGGCGGTGACTCTTGCTTACTTCAATATTTGTGAATACAAATGCAAAAACCAGTATTAAACAGTCGGTTCTGCCACCAGTATCACAGAACTTGACGACTCTTGCTGCTGGAATAAATAAAAAGTGGGGTTATCTTAGAGTTTAGTTCATTTTAAAATTGCTTTCATCGTGTGTTTTTATGCTTTACTTTTGAGGGCTTGTTTGGGTTGTTACTATAGATCCTACACACCCGGATCTGGGGCACACCTTATTAGGTATGTAGGAATAAATCATGGAAGCTGTATGGCGTAGACCGATATGGACGAAGTGATAGCTACGTTAGCGTGATACTTTGGTTTGTACTAATGTTCCTTGAGTCAGTCAAGGATAACATTAGGCTTCCTTAGTGTCATTAAGCGCTAACTGACCTTTAGAACCTTTAATTGACTCATCCTAAGCCATTAGAAAGTAGTGAGATGGCCGACTTTGGTTCCGACCGAAGATTGGTTGATACTCGATACTATACTCATTGAGACTAGACTTTTGGGATATTCTGGCCGCAATACTTTGGTGCTTGAGCTAGAATAACGCCTAAAGGAAAGATCAATGATATAGACTCCTTAGAACCCAATTACTATTAATAGGACAGGTTGAGCCAACCAAAACTTCAAGAGGATACTTACCTTTAAAACTCATGCAAGCCTTTAAACCTAAGGGTCTCTGTGTGACTTGATTGTGTTTAGATATACTTGTGATTTCAAACCATAATCGTAACATCATAAACATCATACTATAGTGTTTACCTTAACCATTTCAAGGATCCCAAGGGTCTGTGATGTTGGTTATGATGAACCAGATATCTAAACAAGGGGCAAGGATATTTATTTTCCTCTAACCAAATACCTTCAAAAGACCAGAACACGACAACTTGGATCAGCGGCTATGACCCACTTGATATGGCGAGCTTGACTCTCGTAGAAGGACTTTCAACGATACCAAGTTCTTCAATCAAAACTGCAAAATTCAACTTCTGATATTTTCTTTTTTAACCCGCGAGATCCTTGAAAACATTTGCATATCATACATGTCATTGCATAACATGTATTCCCCATGAAGGTTTCTTATCTTTTCGCTGTTTATTTCAGCAAAAAGAAATGACTCTTGACCAAACAGTTAAGGAACTTCAGGCACAAAATGCTCAATTCCAAGAAATGTTCCTGAATCTGGCTAAGGGACAAGAAATTCTGAAGGCTCTTGTTCTCAAAGACCATAAGAAAAAGGCAAAGAAACCAATTTGTGTTTTGAGTGTGGGAAGAAGAAGACCAGCTAACCGAGCTCTAGATTTCGCAACCCCATCAAAGGGAGGGGATAATCAAGAGGAAGATGATGAGGAATCAGAGGAAGGAGACAACAATCCAGCGTCTGAAGAAGATGAACCTGACTATTCTGAGGAGCAATATCCTCCCGCTGATGATAAATACAAACGGTTGGAGG